TGGAGAAGAGAAGGATCAGGAGTGACCTCATCACTCTCTACAACTACATGAAAGGAGGTTGTAGCCGGGGGTGGTCGGTCTCTCCTCCCGGGCAACCACCAGTAGGACAAGAGGGCATGGTCTTAAGCTCTGCCAGGTGAGGTTTGGGTTGGATATTAGGTAGAAATTCTTTACAGAGAGGGTAGTCAGGCATTGGAATGGGCTGCCCAGAGAGGTGGTGGATTCTCCATCCCTGAAGGTATTTAAGAAGAGACTGGATGTGGCACTTAGTCCCATAGTCTAGTAACTGTGGTGGTAGTGCAAGGGTTGGACCTGATGATCTCAGAGGTCCTTTCTTACCCGGCTGATTCTTTGATTCTATGAATCAAAGCAGGAGAAGGCAAGCAGAAATCTATAAGCAGGCCCACAGGGGGTTGAAACAAAGTACACAGAGGAAAGATGCCTGCATGTTTAGTTGTGAGTCAGGGAGAAAATAGGGCTTTAAAGTGCATTTTACAGTTCTGTTCCATGTCTCCCCTTCTTGATTTGTTTCTCCCTCCAGTCTCCCAGCACTGGGAACTCAAATGTTCCCAGGAGAGAGAGAAGCAGCTGCTGCATCACTCAAGGAGCCAAGAGATACTGTAGTGCTTGAGATGAAAGGGCTGTGTGACCGTCTTGGGACAGACTTCCCATTTATAACAGCCAGCCCAAGATCATCACACTTCAGGATATTTTGGTTTTCTCCTCTTGCATCTTTTGTCAAACAGAGCTTTATCTGACACTGGAGGAGAAGATACCTTCAGGAGCGACAGCGACCTACTGCAGATGTCTGAAGCGAAAGGAGCAGCACATCTATTCAGAAGACTAGTGTTGTGGTTTTGCCCATCAGCCAGCCCCTGGAGCTGAGGATGGTTTTGTCCAGGCGGATTTCCGGAGAAAAAGCTAATCAAAACTTCTAGTAACGGCTTTGCTAAATACATATTTAAGAAAATGGAAGAGAAGGCTGTGGAGCAGTTGAAATTAGGAGGAGGAGCCATGTAGGAGCAGTGGCACGCCCCAAGGAGGGCCAGGGCCTCGTCCTCCCCCAGCCCTGAACCTGCCAGGAGTGGCAATGAAGCCCCCCTTCCCTCCTGTAGGAGAGTAGAGAAAAAAAACTTTAGAGAAGAACTTGGACAAGACGTGCTGCAAAAGGAATTCCAGAGAGAAAGATAGCACAGCCTTCAAGGTCAAAGTTTGCAGTAGTAGGAGAGAGAAGTTTGAAGGGGAGGGGCTGCTCCCTCCCCACCCCCCCTCCTTCTCTTTCTCCCTTCAGCAGGGAAAAGACTGAAAAATAAATCCTTGCCACCTGTGGAAGATTATTGGAGTGAAGAGATATCCATAGAGGAGCTTGTGGATGCACAGAAAAGCTGAGACCTCATGAGAAGGCCTGAAATGAAACAGAGTCCTGCTAGAGGCTTGTAGGCCATGGACAGAGACTTACGCTGGAGCAGAACAGCTTGGGTAAGATGTTGGAATCCATGCTGGTACTCGAGATTTGTGACCCTGAGTTGGGATCTGAGTGAAGGATCCATGCTGGTGGAGCTAAATTTGTGATCCTGAGAGATAGCAGAGAATGGAAGACCTGTTGTCCGAGAGACGGACTCACATCAGAGAAATCTATTAAGGACTATTCTCTTGTGGGAAGGGACCCCACAGGAAACAGGGGTGGACTCAAAAGCCATTATCCCCTGTGACTGTGGTGAAGATCCATGGTAGGCAAGTGTCCCCTTGCAGTCCATGGAAGAGAAGACCATGAAAAAGCTGCAGCCCATGGCTTGGACAGGGCACTCTGCGCTGGGTTAAGAACTGGATGGATGGTGGGGGCTCAGAGAGTATTGGTGAACGGAACTGCATCCAATGGGATGAGGTTTAACAAGGCCAAGTGTCGGGTCCTGCACTTTGGCCACAACAACCCCCTGCAGTGCTACAGGCTGGGACAGAGTGGCTGGAGAGCAGCCAGGCGGAAAGGGACCTGGGAGTTTGGATGGACAGGAGGCTTGAACATGAGCCAGCAGTGTGCCCAGGTGGCCAAGAAGGCCAAGGGCATCCTGGCCTGGATCAGGAACAGTGTGACAGTAGGAGCAGGGAAGTGATCCTTCCCCTGTACTCAGCGCTGGTGAGGCCACACCTGGAGTGCTGTGTCCAATTCTGGGCCTCTCAGTTCAGGAAGGATATTGAGATCCTGGAGAGGGTCCAGAGAAGAGCAACGAGGCTGGTGAAGGGACTTGAGCACAAGTCCTATGAGGATAGGCTGAGGGAGCTGGGGTAGTTTAGCCTGGAGAAGAGAAGGATCAGGAGTGACCTCATCACTCTCTACAACTACATGAAAGGAGGTTGTAGCCGGGGGTGGTCGGTCTCTCCTCCCGGGCAACCACCAGTAGGACAAGAGGGCATGGTCTTAAGCTCTGCCAGGTGAGGTTTGGGTTGGATATTAGGTAGAAATTCTTTACAGAGAGGGTAGTCAGG